AACAGGGAGAGGGGTGGGCCAACAGGGGAGAGGGGTGGGCCAACAGGGAGAGGGGTGGGCCAACAGGGAGAGGTGTGGGTCAACAGGGAGAGGGGTGGGCCAACAGGGGTCAGGACCTCAATGGAGTTACCCTATGCACATAACCAACCCACCTCCCTCATAGGAGCACATGCAGCAATCATACACAGACCCACTTCACATACCCATTCATGCACATGCCCCCACATGCTGACACGACTCACGAGTCACGCATGTGCATGCGTGCACGCATGCACCCTCACCTTTACACACATGCAGACTCTCACATGCCTCCTGCAACACAGAGGCAAGTGTACAGAAACACACAGGGACGTCCTCACACGTGTCCTGGAGGACACACATGAACAAAGCTCACATAGACTTCTCCCATGCATACACATGATGATGAAAAGGTGTGAAGACATGTTAGTCAGTGTCCGCTGCCATTCTCAGCTTGGGGCTCCATTTTTATAACAGGCTTCTCTGGCATATCTATGCTCCACAATAGCGAGTCATGTTGAGACTCGCTTCCACAGAGGACAAAGCACTTGCTCTACCCAGTACTAAGGATGTCCCAATTGTCATGCTACTGTGTGCTCCCAAACATACTTGCTCTGTGGCTACCATCTGGGTTCACTGACACCAACCACATACACACACACACAAGTACACTCCACCCTCTCAGTCCCCTCAAAACCTTTGGTTCTTCCCTCACAGAAACCCCTACTCTCTGTTCTCCAGCACTTTCCCAAAGCAAGCAAGAAGCACAGAGCTGTTGGGGCCACCCCCTAGCCCCTCCTTAACCATGAGGGACCCAGGAAAGGAGAGAGGACCGTGGAGTGAGTAGAGTCTGAGTGTGTAGGTGAAGAGAGCTGGAGATACAGTGTGAGACACGGACGGCTGGAGGAGGTGGGTGGCAGAGGGAGGGCAGATAAACAAAGAGTAAAAAACCCAGAAGAGACTGACAGTAAGAAGACAGTGGGCTGGGGCGGCGAGGAAAGAGACTTACAGATAAGGGGAGGAAGACCCTGGGACAGAGATAAGGACTGAGAACCAGAGAGAATGAGAACCACGGAGGCCAAAAAGAAAAAGACAGACAGACAGACAGAGAGCAAGCAGCTCTTGGGGGTGGGGTGGCTGTGGGCGCAGTCTTATCTTGTAGACCTGGCATCTTGGAGTTCCTGTGAACTGGCTCCCCTGTGGTGACATGTTCTCTGCAGGGGCATGTCCATGTCTTCCTCTCTCCTCCCCATCCCATCCCCATGTGTGCTAGGGGCTCCTGACTCACTAACCTTTCTCAGAACTCTTCCCCTTGTTTACAGGGTTTCCCTTAGGAAAGAGAGCAGCAAGGGAACAAGTCAGTCAAAGAGACCTTGTGCTTCCCTGATCCCAACCTTGTCCCCCATAGGATGGGCATGTGTCTGTCCTCCCCCTGGACATCTAAGGAGTTGTTGCTAGCCACGTTGAAGGAGTCCAGATCCCTGTTCTGCCCCCAAGGGTTTCAAGCTTTAGAGACCCAGGGAGTTGCTAAGAAGATCTGTATGGCTGGGTACGTGTGAGCTGTCAGGCAGTGTGCTTCATGCCGCCTCATTTGTTCAGATTCATAATCAATCTGTCTATTCGAGTCCATTAGCTCCTTCTTAGCTATGCGGGCGAGGGAGGAGGGAGAGGTCTGTGCAGGAGGAGTTGGGAGGATCAGGCCCCACCCAGGGGGGGGACATCTCAGCTCACCACTCTGCCAGCCTCTTCCTCTATAGCCCAGGCTTGCCCACTACCCCTGTCCCTGGGCTGCACTCCCTTGGAGTCTTGAAAGGCTCTGGGGAGTGAGAACATCGATGGGAACAGTCAGGAAGCTGGACCCTGGCTTGACTGGACAGGCCCGGGAGCAGCCATCTAGACTTCACGTCCCACCCCGTTGTGCAGGAGCCTAGACTCAGACCAAGACAAGGCCATCTCCTCTCTTCCTGGTCTCCCCAGGGCCATTAGAGAGAGATTGAGTACCTCCGTTAATTACCACAAGATACCCGAGTAACTCAGTGCCAATCACTGCGGGCTGCTAGCTCCACCAGCATGCAGAATACTCAAGTATTTTCCAGCCATCACTGGGTGATGCGGAGTCCCTCCAGGTCAATTATACACTGAAAGGTTTCACTAGCTGCTACAAAGTACTTGAGTATTTTGTAACCGATTATTGCACGTAGTCAAAGTACTGCAGAGCTGAAGGTTCCTCCCAGCTCTGGACCTGGAAAAAGGGAGAATCTCTCAGCAACAGCCCTGACTCCCTGATACAAGTAGGGAGACACGGGTGAAAGGAGAGATGGGCGAGCAGAGAGAGAAGCAAAGGGGTTTCGCTTCCCGCATCCAAATCAAGAAGTCTTGTGGTCAGTGGAAAGGAAAGAAGAGCTCAGACACCAAGCTGGTTCCTCACCATCTCCCACCAACTCCAGCTCAATCACACATCCAGGGAAGAGCTGGATTCCCTGGGCATGACAAGGAAGAGGTTGGGGGCTGGCTTCCCCCTAAGAAAAAGAAGATAGCAAAGGTGTCACACTCCCAAAATTCTCCACAGCTAACAACTCCTCCATGGGCTTAGGAGCTTGGGCTCTTGATTGAACCCCACAAAAAGGTTCTTATCCTAGATCGCTGGACCAATACCTGATCCACCGAGTTTCCTCCTTGCTCGTCCCAAACCAGCACCACAGCTAGCTACCCTTAATCCTGGGCGACATCCAGACAGTGACTGCGCGGCTTTGCCAGGGTGGTGGCAGCAGCAGAAGCCGCCGCAGCCTAGCCAAAGGCAGCACGTGCCAGTCTTCTACAGCAGCCAAGCCTGGCCCCTCAAGCCAGAGGTGAGTGCGCGCCCTCGGGGAAGGGCTGTGCCCTCCTGACCCCGCGCCCCTCCCCCGACACACACTCACAGCTCCGTCAGGTTCCCGGCGCCCCGCAGGCCTTGGAGGGTATCCAGGGTCCCTGCCCTGGTGCAGCGCAGCCCCGAGGGGCCCACGGGACAGCAGACCTCCCGACAAGATGAGGCGCAGGCACAGGCCAGCATCAACGAAGCCACCAGACCTCCTAGCCCCGAGGCTGGGTGATGCCAGTCCAGCTGCCCGCGCCGCTGGCCTCGCAGCATCGCGGCGGCGCCCGCCTAGCTCGGGCCGCGCGGCCGTCCGTCCGTGCGCTCCTGGCTGCCGCCGCCCGGCCTCGCGCGACACGTGCGCGGGGCGGTGTTAAAGACCAGCCGCCAGGAGAGGGCGGCACCCACGGCCCCGCCCCGCCCCGCCTGCCGATGCCCCCAGTGCCCCCTCCCCTTTCGGGGCCCTAATGCCAGCTCGCCTTCCTAATGTCTCTCGCGGCTGCAGGAGACCTGGGGCGGGGGACTGCCACAGATTGCCTCACAAGTGTCTTCTGAGGCTGGGGGAGCTAGGAAGCTGATACCTTATTTCTCACAGTAAAACAGCTGCATTTTCAGATTTGCGGGGACAGCGAGAGATTGAGCAAGAGAAAGGTTGAAGTCCAGACCACCCCAGCCAGCCTCACGGTGCACTTTGCCTAAGACAGTGTGAATGTCACTTGGAATAAGTTAGATGAACGTTCTCCAATCCCTAGTAAGGAAAAGGAGAAGGCCTCGGCATGGCTGGACGCAAAATCTGGGGAGAAAAACAGGGGTAGAGAAGAGTCCTTTGAACACAGCTGGAGGGAGATTGGAAAGTGGAGACCTCTCCGCCCGCAAGAGGCCACAGGGTGGCGCTAGAAGCCCTCGCGCCGCGGGTTTACGCTCGGCCTAGGGCTTCGAAGGCTGGGGAGAGCAGTACCGAGCCTTCCTAGCCTGTGCCTCCGGATCTTAGGGTCAGTTCCCAATCCTAGCCAGCCAGCTGGGGCCCCAGAGCCCGTGTATGGCCAGGCAAACCAAGCCTGGCATCGATCGCCGTCCTGACAAGAGCATCGATTTCTGAGCGGAGAAATTAATAGATCTCTTAGCTCTTCGGACGTGGGAGCTGGGAACCGTCGGCTCTTGGTATTTGTGAACCTGGGAAGTCTCAGCCCACTAAATCCAGGCCACTAAATGGCAAGTCTTATGCAATGGCCTTCTTGACTGCAAGCCTAAGTGTCACATTTAGGAGACATCATCCCGGCATGAATTGTCCCTCAAGCGCTTCCGAACACATATAGAGACCCACCAAGCATCCTCAGTTCTTAAAAGAAACCAAACGAAGGAGGAATCTCACAGAGAGACGGCTCGTCTCCTGAAGATTTGATCCAAAACCAAGGGACTTGACGGGGACATACCCCGCGCTGAGGAATTATGTTCAAAGTAGCCTCGGGAGGCTGCGAAGGACTGTAAGAGGCGAAGTGCTGAGATCTTCAAGTTTCACCAGTGGAGTCCGACCTTTCCAGGCTGCGGGAATTTACCCTGCAGATGTCAAAGCACCTGTTGGACTCCAGAACTCCCTTGCAAATCAAGCTAGGGAGCCCAACCACTCCCTCCAGGTCTGTGAGGGGAGGGGGGGAGG